CCCTTTATTTCGACCCTTACTAGATCTAAGTCACCGCACCCTTTTCTTTTTTCAATTTTTTTGTTTATTTCATGAGCGTAAAAGTGATCTTGTTTTCTCGAAAAAGATTTTTTAAAACATGCTCCCACCCCAATTCCATTAAGTCCCAGAAAGAAGAAAGATGGATTCAACTCAGATCGCATCACCATGTAAATTCTTCTAGGCTCGTAAGCCTTATGATCTTATTGAAAAAGATGCCTTCGGTCGTAACGCCACCTTGAAGTCAATATTTGGCCAACATTCGCTCATTCATGAGCAACTTGGCTTAGACTATAAAAATTGTAACAGGAACATGAAATTGAATTTATAATGCATGCACATTGTACAATCCAGCCCACATTTTTTATACGGTCACCAATATAATTTTGGAAACATTGGAAATTTCCGCTATTCTACTTTCGAAATCGCCTCGCGTTTCTCCTCCATTCGCGGGCCATTCCCACAATTCACCTCGCGCAAGCGCAGTTCCCGTTTCGCGTGTATCGAGTCGCCATAATAATGAATCAGGTGTGTTTATTTTCAATTAGATTATAAGTCGAATTTATCCGTTTGCGCTTTCTAACTCTTCTGTTTGTCTTTTTCAGAACATGTTTGACGAAAGCAACCCAAGAACGCTGTAAGTATGACTTCATGTTCGTCAGTATTGTCTTTGCAAGTATGTCTTGTGTGCTCGAAACTTTCGTGTTTTGCCTTGTTTTGTTGTCTTCCGTTTTCAAATACTTTCACGTTTTTCTCTTCCTAGCTACGTTGGGAACCTGAGCGACAATGTTTCAGAAGAATTCTTGTTAACACTCTTTGGACAGATTGGACCATGTAAATCCTGTAAAATCATCCACGAGGTAAGTGGTCATTTTTCGTCCTTTGGTCACAATGGCTTCTTGGTACGGTTCTGATTTGTGCTATAAATCTGACTTACCCCCCTTTGTTTAGTGTTGTCCAATCTTGAAAACTTTCCTTTCATTGAAACCTCCTTCACCGGTTAATTCTGATTACTTTAATTATTCTAATATTACTGTGATTTGAAGCTCTTGTAAACCTATGATAAATGGGAAGTCTTTGTAAAAGGATTGATGGCTATTCATAATCATACCACTGACCGCTGTCTCTCTCAGTGCTTGCAGAAGACTCACTACTCTAAGAAAGTAGAAAGTTCAAGTTGTTGCACCAACACTCTACTCCTCAAACTCTTCTCTTACTCTAGATTAGTTCTAAGGGTTAGCTTCTCAGGCGCATTCAATTTAATCATATCCATTACCAATTATTCTCTTAAACTAAGACTTAGTTCAGTCTGGTCAGTTGCTATATTATATTGAAGACAGGGGCCCTCTATGCCAGTCTATGGCTGTCCAGTGCCTGCTACCAGGCCTACCTAGATCTAGAATCAAGCATCTTTTGTCAAACAAACCATTAAAAGCGTATTTTTTTACAGTATGAAATTCTCAATTTGAAGGACCATACTATGCTTCTTCATTTTAAATTGATCTCAATAGGCCCTAAAACTTCAAGTTCAAGACGTCACACATGTTTGGTGTGACTTACGCTTAAAATTACATGCCATGCGATTAACTCTTTTTATCCTAGCCGTACCCCCACGGACTCTGTACCCGTCCTGGGGCCGCCGTGCCGTATGAGTCTGAAGTCAGTGCGTATAGTTCAAAGTGCTATATTTCTTACTTTTACTCTAAGGTTTTAAGGAAATTTGGCAGTTATGTTAGAAATTGAATGTAGTTTTTTGTAAATGTATGTGGTTAGGAAATACACCAATAGCACAATGTAGATTTTGAGGTATATTCAACCCTCGAACTTGACCCTGATTGCCGCGCCCACAACGTTCCATTGGATTTTATAGATCTAGATCTAGCCCTACCCATCGAACACGGATTCCAGTACTGACCCCTTCACCATGATCTAAATCGCTATTAGAAGTCATGTTTCTTATCATCCACAACGGAATTTACGGCACTTATTTCAGAGTCACTATCATCAAATTAGTATCATTCCCCCTCAAAACCCAGCGCAACTTCAAAAAGTACTTCGTCGGTCGTGAATGTGCATTTTCGAGACATCTTTCAAGCTTCTACACCCATCAAAAACAAAGAAACCACTGTTCATTGGAAAATTAAAATATTGAGACAGAGCTAGCATCGCCGTATTTGCGTATTTTGGTAATTACAAGCAGTACTAGTACTAGCTTCTTTGACGAGACCGTATCGCTGTTCCGAGAATACTCGTAGCCCGGACTGGTCCTCGTTACGAGTATACTCGTAGCCCGGATAAAAAGAGTTAAACGTTGAACGACGCAAACTATTTTTAGGTAAGGCGCCCACCTTGTTTGACGTCAGACCAGGATACCTCTCCGATCACGTGACTGCATCTAAGTATAGCCAACCACATGGCACCTAAGATGGAATTGTCTACTATTAAGCTTAAATCTACCTCTCGCTGTCGGAAGTTCTGATAGCCGAATAGACAGCACGTCTGTGTTTAAAGTCATGCAATGATTTTATGAGCGGTTCGATCCCGGCCCCGGAAGTTTTTTTTCTCTTCTCCTCCCGACTGACCAACAGTTTGTCCCATAAATTCTAATTTGTTGCTTTGTAGACTGACCAACAACTGTTCATTCAGTTCACTTTTACTTTGGTTGTGCTTTTTGATGTGAAAATAAAGGGTGTTCTTTTTTGGATTCAATCGTGGGTTGTTTCTTCAAATACAGTAGTGGGGGCTCTCGTGGCCTAGAGGTAAGGTGTTGGCCTCTCATTCGAAGGTCCCGGGTTCGATTCCGGGTAGCGACCAAAAAATTTTCTTCTCTAAAATTGTCTCCTTTCACATCCTTTCCTGATCTCTAGCAATGTTCTGTTGTCTGCTTTCATTTCCACTTTCTGTCCCCACCCCCTCACCTCCTTTGCCACCTCCTCTGGGCTCCTGACTCTTTCTGCAGCCTTTCTACTGCTACTCCTTGGCTCCTCCTAACTGCTGTCTTTCTGCCACACCCCTGATCTTTTGGTAGGACAGATCTACACCTAGCCTTCTCGGACAAGGGCGAAAAATCTCGGAGGGCCCGTGTGCAAGTTGCGCACGTTAAAGATCCCTTGGTGGTCTAAAATCGATAAGAGTAGGCTTCGGCCGCCACCCGGGCAAAATTCAAAATTTCCTACCAACGAAAAAGTATTAGTGTGTCCCGCGCGCTCATATGACCTTATGCAGTTGCGAGCGCCGTAAAACCCTATACTAAACAAACAAAAAATACAGTAGTAGATTTTGTTTTTACCTTAAATTCCTGTCAACACAGAAGGATTTCACTCCTGGCCAACTGTTTCCCCCTTTCCGTTTGATTAGCTCTCAGTCGCCAACTGTTGTCAATACACTTTATAAAACATGCATTCAATGTGCTAAGACTTAATCGAGTTGTCTCTTCCACTACGTTGTGTGCAGCCTGGTGATAGCGTGGATTTTTTTTAAGGATAGGGAAATGAGACTGGGAAACTGCCAATCATCTTTGTAGTTTAACTCTTTTTATCCTAGCTGTACCCCCACAGACTCTGTGCCCAGTTCTGGGGCCGCCGCGCCGTATGAGTCGAAGTCAGTGCATATACAGTCGAACCTGCCCTGACGGCCACCTGTACAAACGGCCACTTTCTATTTACCCCCTTGCGTTTTTTCTATATAATTTAACTGTGTAAAACGGGCACCTGTCCAACGCGGCCGCGGCCACCATATCTTAACCCTTAAGATTCTGGTCCCTGATAAATGTTTGCCCGATAAGCGCAATCCCGCGCGGCGCTCCACAGCTGGTCCCTGATCAGTCGTCGTCCCGCGCGGGCAACGCATTTCATTTAGGGCGGGGTCTGCATCTGCGTGTTAAAATGTGTGTGGGTCAGTCTGCTTGTGCTTGTGTGTCCATCTGGAACTTACTGCATTGTTTTGCAACGCGAGGCGTTAGTAGAGATAACAGAGCGTCAGTTGAGACGTTCATCCAATGAAATATCAGCATTTTGACCCAGTTAGACACTTGAGGGACTTGAAAGGATATTCAGGAAATAGGACTTTCATCTTTCAATGCAAACACCTTTCCTCACTTTTCAAACGATCTAATTCTTACATCAAACGTTGTTTCCTGATGTAAATAATCATATTTGGTGGTTTTTGAACCATTGTCCTACCAGAGGGAGAAATTTGAGAGCAACTGAATAAAAAAAATAATCAGAAATTATCCCATTTTTTTCCTCTTTCGAACGATAGCTGAATAAGCAGCTGTTCGCAAGTTCATTCATAATAGGTGTGAAATCTGGAAAAGTTATTCGATTTGGTGTAACTTCCAATCTCAGCGTCTCTGATCAACCGACGAGGAGATAATGGGATTATTCGTGTGATCATAACACTTATTCATTGATCGTATCAGTTTGCTGTAAAAGATGAGGTGTTTCCCTGACCTGCCGCGGCACGCTCGCGTGACCGGTTTCTGACCCCGGCGCCCCGCGGCACAAGCTCGCGGGCGACGTAAGTGGGTCATCGATCGATAAGAGCCCTCTTCCGGTTAACCCCGCAGGACTAGAGTTAACACACAACCCCTATCACACTAAGCATTAACACCTGTCTTAGACGACTACCTAAGTTTCTCCATTACGTTTTGTTATAAATTGTGCATTGGCCCCTGACGTTGTGGGCTAGCTGTCATAATGCAATCACTTCGTTGTTGTTAGGTAGCCCCGCCAACCGATCATGTTGCGTAGGCCCCTCCCACTGTTGACCAATAGAGGTACCAATTTTCAGCTGCTGGTGAGGTTAGCGTGCGATCCCTCATAACCCATAAGCCCTGCCCAGAACTCATACACAAATCGTAAGTGAGATGAGTGGTCAAACTGTTTACCCAGGCTGTAACAAAGTAACAAAGGACGTCAACATGAACTTGAGACAGAAGTGTCGCTCGTTCTCCGAGTGGTGGCAACCCATGTGTTTGTTTTAACATGGCACTCGGTCTTCCTTGTCTGATACATTTCGTTTTATTGTCACCCTTGCACAAAATCAGCAACAAAATAATAATAGCAAACAAAATACAAACCAACACCACCAACAACAACAATGTGGCTACTTTCGATTGGGGCTTCAGATGGGAATGGTTTGTTTTCTTTATCTTGATCAGTCCTGCCTAAGACGACCACCTGTCTTATACGGCCACTTTTTTCCATGACAATGGATGGCCGTCTTACTCAGATTCGACTGTAGTTCAAAGTGCTGTATTTCTTACATTTACTCTAAGATTTTAAGGAAATTTGGCAGTTATGTTAGAAATTGAATGTAGTTTTTGTAAATGTATGTGGTTAGGAAATACACCAATACCACAAGGTAGATTTTGAGGTGTATTCCACCCTCGAACTTGACCCTGATTGCCGCACCCACGGCGTCCCATTGGATTTTTTTTATAGATCTAGATCTAGCCCTACCCATCGAGCACGAATTCCAGTACTGACCCCTTCACCATGATCTGAATCGCTATTAGATGAGTCAAGTCCTGTTTCTTATCATCCACAACGGAATTTACGGCACTTATTTCTGAGTCACTTTCATCAAATTAGTATCATTCCCCCTCACAACCCAGCGCCACTTCAAAAAGTACTTTGTCGGTCGTGAACGTGCATTTTCGAGACATCTTTCAAGCTTCTACACCCATCAAAAGCAAAGAAACCACTGTTCATTGGAAAATTAAAATATTGAGACAGAGCTAGCATCGCCGTATTTGTGTATTTTGGTGATTACAAGGAGAACTAACTTCTTTGACGTGACCGTACCGCTGTTCCGAGTATACTCGTAGCCCGGACTGGTCCTCGATACGAGTATACTCGTAGCCCGGATAAAAAGAGTTAATAGGAACATCTCTTTTTCCCCGATTATTTTTATTATAATGTACGTTATCATTTATGATTCTTAAATCCTTGTTTTGTTTTTTGCTTTTCTGTTGTTTAACTAAGTTGTAATGTGGAAAACCATCAAGTAAACATTTATTCCTCATTTTAACCTCACTCTGTACCGTCAAGGCGTCCCTCTCAGGTTGAAAATTAGGTTCCCCTTTTAAAAGATATTTCCATAGGTTAGCAGCTCAGCAGGTATTCATCATTTACCTTTTCCATACATCGTGTTTTACTGTAGTATCCATACGAATTGGGGAACTCTGTGCCACCACTTTCGAAAGAGGGAATTTACTCGTTGTTCTGATCCGTACGCCTTGCATAGCGGTCTGTCAAAATGATATTTTGAGTAATACTGAAAGTTTCAAAGAGATCTTCATACTTGAAGTATTCTAAAATGTGGAGTATAAAACCCCGGGGGATACAAAATGACCCCAGGGCATACGCATAGGGTTAATGACTAATAATAGCATATATATATAAAGCTTGGGATCAGAATTAAATAGTAAGACAGGGGTTGACTCCCTTTTTTTTTTTCTTTTTCTTGCACTGTGCTTAACATGAAATTTGCTCAGAAATTCTCAGGGGCAAAGGAGGTTAGGGGTGGGGGCAGAAAGAGGACATGAAAGCAGATGACAGAACATTGCTAGAGAGCAGGAAAGGTGGTAAGAGGAGACAATTTTAGAGAAGAAATTTTTTCGGTCGCTACCTGGATTCGAACCTGGGACCTTTGATTAAGAGGCTAACACCTTAACCTCTTGGCCACGAGAGCCCCCTGCCTGTCTTTGGGAGCAACAGAACA